CCGGCCCGGGGATCCGTGCAGCAGCTCTGACCCAGGGGTACCCCTGGGCTGCCGCCGGCGGCTCAGACTCCCTCTCCCTCCCAGGGCAGCGGCCGCTGTTTAAAAAAAAATTGGGGGTGCCGCTTTTTGGCACCCCCAAATCTTGGCGCCCTAGGCAACCGCCTAGTTGGCCTAAATGGTAGCACCGGCCCTGTGGCCATGGCTGCATGCCTGCCCATGGTCCATGTAGAGCGTGTGTGAATGGGAGGAACCTGCCTGTTGCAGCTCACACCCACCTTTCTGCTCTTGTCCCGCAGACAGGAGCTTGGGGCTGCTTTGACGAGTTCAGCCACATCAACATTGAGACGCAGTCTGTGGTGGCCCAGCAGATTCTCTCCATTCTCTCTGCCTTGGCCGCCAACATGACCTCCTTCACCTTTGAGGGCCATAAGATCAAGCTGGTGTGGTCCTGTGGTATCTTCATCTCCATGAACCCAGGTGGGAGACACGGCCGTGCCCATGGAAAGGTCCCTCTCGCTGGCGGAGTCGCTGGCTCGGGCATGGCAGGCCCCTCCCCATTCAGAATTCAGATGGGCACCACATGGCCACTAGGGAAGAACCCAAGACCAGCCCGTCCCTATGCAGGGGCCTCGGCTCAGCGTCCGGGGCCTGGGGTTGGGGTAAAGGGAGTGGGGCAGAGATGGCAGGTGGCCAGGGCTAACGTGCTGCTGGGTGCCATGGGGCAGGTTATGCTGGATGGACACAGCTGCCCGACAACCTCAAGTCCATGTTTTCTCCCATCTCCATGGTGGTGCCAAACTCCATGCTCATCACAGAGATCATCCTCTTCAGAGGAGGGTTCAGCAACTGTAAGGTACACACAGGCCTGGGGCCATGGGGGCTCAGAGAGTCACCCTTGCTGGGAGCACTCGTGTCCTGGTCAGTGGGTCCAGTCCCAGCCAGGGCAGGGACTGGCTGGGTCAGAGAATGGGACACGGGGCCTTTCCCATCTGGGTGGCACGGACTCTGATCTGGCCCCAGGGCGAGGACTGGCTGGCTCAGAGAATGAGCCTTTCCTGGCTGGCATACTGCTCCCAATCTAGTGCACTGCAGCCTGGGATGAGTTGGGGGTTCCCAGGGCTCTTAGCGAGATGCCACCTCCGAAGCCTGGTTCCCTGACCCCCTGAAATGGAGCCAATATGCCCCTGGCTGCCTCGCCCCCCGCTGATGGGCTCTGCTCTTGTCCCAGCTCCTGGTTGAGAAGGTCTACACGCTGTATTCGCTGGCAGTGCAGCAGCTGTCCAAGCAGGACCGCTACGACTTTGGCCTGCGGGCACTGACGTCGCTGCTCCGCTACGCTGGGAAGAAGCGCAGGGTACACCCCAACATCAGTGGTGAAGAGGGGAGGTGCCCCCGGGATCCTGCACTTAGGGAGGCCGGGGACTGTGCCAGGCGGTGTCGGGATGGCATGGGCAGCGCCGGAGGGGAGTTTTGCCGGCAGTTTGGCAGTGGGGAGCGATGCAGTCAGTGTGCCAGCTGGCGGGGGGGAGGATCCCCAGCACCCCGAGGGTGCCCAGCTCCCCTGGCTCTCCTGGTGGCTTTCAGATCCTCCTGATGGCCATGAAGGACATGAAAATCGCCAAGCTCGCCTCAGTCGACGTGCCCCTCTTCAATGGCATCGTCCAGGAGCTCTTCCCGGGCATCAAATCACCTGCCATTGGCTACAGGAAGGTCAGCTAGCCAGCCCCGGCCGCTCAGCTGGGCTCCTTCCCCCAGGGCTGGATCCAAGTGAGAGGGAGCCCAGTGTCATTAAGTACAGGGAGGCTGCACTGCCAAGGCAGTTCCCTTCCAGAGAGCAGGGGACATGGAGCTGGGATTCCTTGGTTTTGTTCCCAGCTCAGGGAGGGGAGTGGGGTGTAGTGGTTAGAGCGGGGGGGCTGGAACAAAAGAATCCAGGACTCCTGGATTCTCTCCCGGTTCTAGGAAGGGAGTGGGATCTAGGGGTTAGAGCAGGGTTGTGGTTTTTTTTTTCCTCTCTCTTGCTCTCTCACTTGCCATCTGACCTCTCTGTACCTCAGTTTCTCCCATGTGTGGAGAGACTCCCAATAATTGATGAGAAGGTGTCAATCCCAAGAGAGGGAAATTGCTTTTGTAGTGAGCCGGCCACTCCCAGTCCCTATTCAAGCCCAAGGGGGAGACGGTTGGGAGATGCCCAGTTGATCTCCAGACCAGATTATAACATTGAGAGGGAGGACAATGAGATAAGAACAGATACAGCCGGGGGGAAGAGATTGGACATAAGGAGGAGGTGGGGGGATGGATACCAGACTAATAGGTCATACTAGCTGTACTGTGTCCATACCAAATGGGATAACGAATGTGAGAGAGGCCAAACGGCATAAATTAAGATGTTTATACACCAATGCGAGAAGCCCAGGTAACAAAATGGAGGAATTGGAGCTCCTGGTCCGAGAAATGAAACCGGATATCGTAGGAATAACTGAAACGTGGTGGAACGGTAGTCATGACTGGAGCACAGGTATGGAAGGGTATGTGCTGTTTAGGAAAGACCAGATCAAAGGTAAAGGTGGGGGAGTAGCATTGTATGTCAATAATGAGGTAAACT